GAAGGTAGCTATGTAGGCAGATAATTAGGTAAAACCCGCTAACGAATTGAGTAAAATACTTTGTATGGTATTCTGAATGCATTTTGCTGATTCAATAATATTCATGCTAAATGTTAAAAAAAATAATTTTCTGTAAATGAATTGGAAATAGCATGGCGTACGAAGCCGGGCTAGTATCTAGAAACTAAAAATGAAATAATAAAACGAAGGAAACAAACTAGTAAAAATTAAAAAAACATTTTTATAAAAAAAAAAACCTGTCGCACTCGGCTCAGCTGGGGTAAAGCTATAGCATAGCATCTTTTATCAACTTATGCGATTATAATTATTTAATTATGCAGTATTTTTTTCTTTGATATTTATATTTATGTTAATAAATAATAATATTTTAATAATATAATAATTAATATATATTATAATTAATAATATATAATTAACTAAGTCACGAACTACTAAGTCAGTCACTAAGCTCTGGATAGTTAAATTACAATATACTAACATTTTTAAACTTGTGATATCTTTCGAATGGAATGTCCGAATTTAATCATTCAAAAAGTTATATAAAGATATTGAAACTTAAATATAAAGTAATTTATTTTTATAAGAATTAATACCAAGATACAAATAAAGAGCCTTTTCTAGCGGCGGCATTTCAATCAAAATTTTAAAGTAAAAGAATACTTATTGTGGCATAACTATAATAGTTAGACATATACGGTCGCAACACTTTTTATAAATAACGATGTGTTCTGCAAATTCGTAGTACATTATTTTATACAATTATCAATAGTTTTAGCAGCGCACGCGATGCAAACAATATTTTAGGTAATTTTTGTACACTTTGGTTTACATTATTCAAGTTTTAGTAAGGATTCCTAGTTTTTTGAAAATTTTATATATCCTATGTCATCCGGGGATAATGTAGCTTCGAGACAGTGAAAGAAATTTTCAAATCTGTTCAGTGGTTTAGGAGCCTATTCAATGCATAAAAACAATCAAATCTTTCCTCTTGCGTGGTAGGCGGAGTGGGTGGTGTTAGGTTTTTATTTTCGTTACGGAATTTATTGATTCGTTCGCCGCGCTCAAAGCCCGCGATAAAAGCTGTGCAATAGCTTAAAAAAATATTGTTTCATTTTTAATTTGACTCTTCCATGCTCTTCGCAGAACTGTCGCTATGTCGATCCTGGGTGGAGCAAGCCCGCGAGGCCAATTTATACCTCCGACACGAGGTTCTGGCTCCGCCTTTTGATGTTCACTCTAGGGATAGGGAAGACCACACGGAGTCGGGGTGCTCTGTGTCAGATCTTTGTGATTTTTCTTTATAGTTCTCTATCATTTAATTATTTTTGTTATCTATATTGAAGTAGTAGCCTGCTAAAATTTTATCGTTTTAGGCTTTGGCATCTGAAACAACATTTGAGTTATAAGAGGTATAAATGTTGTATGTGATAACTGTGCCATAAAAATAAGTCTTTGATAATTTAAGTTGAGACCCACTACATTTTTACATAACTATTTTTTTTTTCGTGTTTTGCCTATTTTAAAGACGTTCTTACTTATTTTAAATTAAGTATTATTTTAGGCAGAATCCATGATCATAAAAGTTGATCAGTGCGAAACACGACAAAACAATAAACGATAAATGGGGTCATAAACGTGAAACAAAAAGTTTGCCACATAGCTGTCGTTCGAAACTTTTGAAGTACATATTTATTACACCTATTCATTGAAACATACAAAAAATGACCTTTTAGACATGCCTAATCTTACAATTTGAAAGTGTGCAAATTTGTTTTGTATTACTTGTATTTTTAATTATCCATACAACTTTTCTACATGTGGTGTACTTTTGGCCAACATTTGGCTGCATGGAAATAAGAATTTATAATAAAATACCAGATAGGTTCATAGGCCTCCCGGAGTATTTAAATTTAAACGAAAATTCTAAAATCTGTACACTGTCAAATTAGACATTTAAAATATTTAATCATGTCTAAGTAATGTAGAATGTTTATATTAAAATTCATTACTTTGACTTGTGATTTACTTTGACTTATATTTATACTCTATTGACTCATAATTATAATCTAAATTTCAATTTTTTTTTTATATTAACATGTTTCACAAATATTTATACACAGAATTGATGTAGAATACGTAGTTCCATATTTTAAATAACTTTTTTACTGTATTCTTACTGTATTCGTACCTTCATGCCAATACATCAATTTCAAAGGTAAGGTCTCAAAAAAACTCACAAAACAAGCCCAAACTCGACACACATAGCTCATCTCGTCTGTTAGTTCCAGTAGCAGTTCTCGAAGTACACCTTCAGGTCACTCCATCTAGTCAGAAGGCAAGATCTCACCATACCTAACAAAAGAAGCCCAAACTCGACACACATAGCTCATCTCGTCTGTTAGTTCCAGTAGCAGTTCTCAAAGTACACCTTCAGGTCACTCCATCTAGTCAGAAGGCGAGGTCTCACCATACCTAACAAAACAAGCCCAAACTCGACACACATAGCTCATCTCGTCTGTTAGTTCCAGTAGCAGTTCTCAAAGGTACACCTTCAGGTCACTCCATCTAGTCAGAAGGCGAGGTCTCACCATACCTAACAAAACAAGCCCAAACTCGACACACATAGCTCATCTCGTCTGTTAGTTCCAGTAGCAGTTCTCGAAGTACACCTTCAGGTCACTCCATCTAGTCAGAAGGCAAGATCTCACCATACCTAACAAAAGAAGCCCAAACTCGACACACATAGCTCATCTCGTCTGTTAGTTCCAGTAGCAGTTCTCAAAGTACACCTTCAGGTCACTCCATCTAGTCAGAAGGCGAGGTCTCACCATACCTAACAAAACAAGCCCAAACTCGACACACATAGCTCATCTCGTCTGTTAGTTCCAGTAGCAGTTCTCGAAGTACACCTTCAGGTCACTCCATCTAGTCAGAAGGTGAGGTCTCACCATACCTAACAAAACAAGCCCAAACTCGACACACATAGCTCATCTCGTCTGTTAGTTCCAGTAGCAGTTCTCGAAGTACACCTTCAGGTCACTCCATCTAGTCAGAAGGCAAGATCTCACCATACCTAACAAAAGAAGCCCAAACTCGACACACATAGCTCATCTCGTCTGTTAGTTCCAGTAGCAGTTCTCGAAGTACACCTTCAGGTCACTCCATCTAGTCAGAAGGCAAGATCTCACCATACCTAACAAAAGAAGCCCAAACTCGACACACATAGCTCATCTCGTCTGTTAGTTCCAGTAGCAGTTCTCGAAGTACACCTTCAGGTCACTCCATCTAGTCAGAAGGCAAGATCTCACCATACCTAACAAAAGAAGCCCAAACTCGACACACATAGCTCATCTCGTCTGTTAGTTCCAGTAGCAGTTCTCGAAGTACACCTTCAGGTCACTCCATCTAGTCAGAAGGCAAGATCTCACCATACCTAACAAAAGAAGCCCAAACTCGACACACATAGCTCATCTCGTCTGTTAGTTCCAATAGCAGTTCTCGAAGTACACCTTCAGGTCACTCCATCTAGTCAGAAGGCAAGATCTCACCATACCTAACAAAAGAAGCCCAAACTCGACACACATAGCTCATCTCGTCTGTTAGTTCCAGTAGCAGTTCTCGAAGTACACCTTCAGGTCACTCCATCTAGTCAGAAGGCAAGATCTCACCATACCTAACAAAAGAAGCCCAAACTCGACACACATAGCTCATCTCGTCTGTTAGTTCCAGTAGCAGTTCTCGAAGTACACCTTCAGGTCACTCCATCTAGTCAGAAGGCAAGATCTCACCATACCTAACAAAAGAAGCCCAAACTCGACACACATAGCTCATCTCGTCTGTTAGTTCCAGTAGCAGTTCTCGAAGTACACCTTCAGGTCATTATCAAGTCCGTAACGAAATATGAATTTTTAACCCCTACTAATTTCTAGTAAAAATATGACAAAGTGTGAATTATAGTTTACTTTTGTCGTTCGTAGTCCGAAGTCCGAACATGATGTGTAAAGTATCAACTTTGTTACGACAAATATTTTGTATTCGTACAGCGATCTTTTTCCTCACGAGCTGCTGTTTATAAGCGACATAGTGACCACTCATGACGGCAGCCGAGCGCCGACTAATATTTCTTTAAATATTTTTGTGGAATAAATCAAAAAAGTGACCAGTAAAAATAACCTTTATGTCAATCACTTAAGATTCACTCGTAAGATATAAATGTGAAAGAAATAGATTTTAATCTTTATTTTTTCTGAAACTAATTTCAACAATTTTGATACGTAATGTAGCTACCTTTTTGAGTTGAACATGTGTGCTTACATAAAATATTTTTAAATAAAAAAAAATATGTTATTAAATAAGAGAAAAATGTTCCTAAACCCAACAGAATATCGTCCATTTTGAGTGAAATGGTCACGAAAATTCTCATTTACAATATTATAAACCAAAATTTTCTATTAAAAACTATCTACCATTTGAAGATGAAGGAGGGATCTATATGTGATAATTATTACTTACATTATATTCGTTTCGTTTTGCCGCAAAATGTACCTGAAAACCCCCTATTTTTGCAGATTCCGCGAGATTTCGCAAACACGCCCTTAATACATATTCAATATTTGTTTACGAGTACTAATGAATGACCTTGTTGTTTAATTTGTACTTGTAGAGAACACTCGCGACGTAAACCCAATAAAAGAAGAGCAAGTTCCCACGCGAGCAATCAGCCATCGCCGCGCCGCAAACGCGCCCATCAATTCGCCGGTGAACAACTATTTATATGACGAATAAATCGCACAACCGGCCGCACTAAATCCGCCTTTTTTCGCAGCCATCACCGCCCTCCAACGGTACACGATAAACAATAGTTGACGGTTGTCCCGGGACGCGCAAAAAGCGGGCACACCGTAAGCCCGTGCGCCGATGCTATCCCGCGATGCGCGATAACGTCGCGCGAGCATGAAGCTTATGATTGACGGGTCCTATCCCGGCCCCGAATTAATACATACGCGGGTCCGCGGGAATAATTTATATCGCGGACGGACGGATGCCTCCGCGATGCGGCCGACGCGATTTTTGCCGGACGCCGCGGCTCTAGACGAGCGAGAATTCGCGGGCTGGCCGCACAGTTTTTTCGACGTATCGCGCTCTATCGACGCGATATCGTTTTCCACGGAATAGCCAGTGCGGCGAAGATCCATTTGTGATGCATTGAGTGACGTTTTTGTGCGATGCATCGATCGGATAGGGCTCTCAGTCGATAGGAATAGTCCCCGAAATTCCTGCAAATTTAATCCCAGTGGGACTTTGTTTTTACCATTATTAGACAAAAAAAACATGTTTACAACATACACAACGCCTGGAGCGATCAATTAATTTCCAAGTGTGATTATTTAAATTACAACATGTGTTGTAATTTAAATAATCTATGATATAACAATTACCTATAACACACCAACGGTCCATTACAAATTTTTAGAATTTAGCAACTGATATATTTTTTATTTTCTGCAATTTTGCTTAAAAATGTCTATATTATTCCATAAAAGATTTTCTTTTTCTACGTAGGCTAGTTGTGGGTAGAAACAATTTATAAACGAAAAACGAACAGATACTATAATAACTAAAACAGTTGCTATATAAAGAGTTATATTTTTATAATACTAATAAAAACTAATATAAAATGTAAAAAAAATTAATATAAAATGTACCTTTTCTTTTTTGTGCATTGCTTTCATATTTAAAATTGTATTTTAGATTTTGTTTTGCACCTACGTCAAATTTTCACTACCACAAAGGAAGCATTCTCTAATTAGCATTCAGTTTGCCTTTTGGTTGGCCATATGTTGGGGTGTAAACAATAAATTTTCAAATAAAAATAAATAAATTTATCGACCGCCACACAGTAAAAGTAGACGTAAGTAACTGCAACCCGAAAGTGTACAATGGAGTAGTCTCGAATGCAATTAATAGTATTGGTAATGACAAACGCAATTCTGGACCACTTACGCGAAATGTACGAGTATATAACTGTACTTTGCGAATAGTTTTAGTTGATACATTGGTACTACAAAATAGAATTGAACCGCTACAAATGTGCAGCCTTTTGTAGCTAGATCCAGGTCTGAACTTTGGAATTGAAACACAAACAGAGACGCAAATATTAACCATTAGCCGTCGTGAGTGGAGTGTGTGAGAACCAACCCATAAAGGTGGCAACATCACAGCTAGGCTATCTAATACAATGTCGTTAACTGCCTTTTTCAACCGATTTCGAAAACGGAGGAGGTTCTTAATTCGACCGTATTTTTTTATGTTTGTCGCCTCAGAACTTTTGGATGAGCCAACCTATTTGAATGATTCTTTGTTTATTTGAAAGCGCGTGCTTTCCATGTGGTCCCCATATTAATTTCATTGGTACTGGATCTGAAAATCGATTATAAAATGAATACAGAGCTAGATATTAGAAGTCGATTTTGTTCTTCATAACTAAAAAAAATATTATAATATATAGAGTATTGTGTAAAACGTTGTCAGTTGAGCAGACGGCTTGCCTGATGTTAAGTCATTACCGCCCCCCCATAAACAACTCCTGGGTTGCATATGCATTCCCAACTTTTAAAGAAGTGTGCTCCGGCTACCTCAATCACCAGACGAAACGCGGAATCATAGTATTTCCACGACGAGTCTGCCCATTCGTGACAGCAAAAGCTGCCTAGTGGCCATAGCACAGTGAAATGTGAATGTGGAGTGTCCTATCATTCTTCACCATCGTACATAAAAATGCTTATATAAGCAGAAGAAAGTATAAAGCATACTATCTGATTTCTTTGACATAGTTTCACAATACAATTATACTAAATTAGCCGTTCAGTATGTTTAAACATTTTCATAATTGCCATAAACACATAGAAATTTATACAAGTTGCGAACAACATCACAAAAACAATTATCTTAATTAACAATTCGTTCTTCAAACATATTGGCATTTCAACAACAGATCCACAACAAAAGAATCTTTCGATCCGTACTAATTTAACACACCCTATCAATATTTTGTTTTTAAATAGTAATTTCTAAAATAAATTAATACTTTTATCATCGTCACTAACAAACCTGCAACAAACAAACAACAAAGAGTGAGAGTTTTTAATAAATTGTACGCACCATCATCAACTGGCGATGTACAGCCAGAAAATATATCTATCCTTAGCGTAGCGAAAGGTTTGTGTTGTTTACAATACTTTCGCGCGTAATTCGAAACGTAGAATCTTCGCCGCCTACCCTCTAGCTACGGATACGCGGTCTGCGAAAAACAAACATGGCAACACAATTTACGAGGCCGCCATGACGTTTTTTCCTTTGCGGCGTAAAGGAATGCGACACAGCGCGGCACGCCGACGCAAGTAAGTATCTGACAATGGACCTCAATACAGGAGCCCCGACCCGCACCACGACACGGTATCTTATCGTAACATCTCTGCTACCGATTCGACCCTGCGACCTATGGGGTGACAGTGTTTTCGAAATATTGCAAGACCATCCTACATGATGACTCCGTGGCGCAGTTGCCAAGGTATTGGCTTCCCGGCGTCGGGGTCGTGGGTTCGATCCCCACACTGGACAACTATTTGGGTGACCCACAGATAGTTGTTTCGCATCTGGGTGCTCGTTCACGTGAAATTTATGTTTGAAAAGCGCCCTAACGACACACGATAGTGTTATCCTAAAGTAAGGGCAAAGATTTTATTTATTTTCGAATAAAAAAAAAACATAAAACGAAAGGGAATCACAATTTCAATAATTTAATGGAAGTTAATACAAAACCTTATACTTCGGAGATGTTAATACTACAATTGATATTGATTTGTTAATTATGTTGTTTTATGTTATTGAGCTTAATGAAAAGAACAATTTTCAATGAAAAAATTTCCAAAAGACATTTCTGCTTTTATTTAAGAAAAATATACAAAGATATGCTTACGTAGCAATTTCGCATTCTCGCAAACTTTTACGTTTGATGGCGAGACGCGCTCGTTTTTCAACATAATATCTTCTACGTACATATACTAATTATTTATTTATATAAGTATTATACATAGTGACTAGGTATTTCTATACACTATTATAATAACCAATACAGGCTACTCATTAATTTAATGATAAAAGAATCTATAATATTAAAAGTTCAGGACTTATAACGGACAAATATTTACACATTTTTTTGTTATAGCTCAAACAATTAAATCGAACGTCGATTATTTTTATCTTAGTTAAACCAAAAATATCTCAGGGTTTCTTGTCAATACTTTTCTAGACCGGTTCCAAATTTTAACACCAGTGGAAGTAACGAATTGCGATAAGTTCGTGAGCCCTATGAATTTAACTGTATATAATCGACAAAAGATAAGTTTCACAGCTGTCTTCCGTTCGACGAAAACGTGGTCACCGCAGTAGCAGCTCGTGTCGCCGCTACGAGCTTTTGTGCCCTGCGGTGAGGTCTGGGCATACGTAAACAAAAAGGTTCACGTTTCCATCACCTCGCGATCGATGCAGCCGATCCATCGATCCGTCCGCAGAGACAACGTCGCCTGGCCCTCGAACAGCCGCATTGGACAAGGCGCAGCACCGTTCGGGGACACTACCCTCTCGTGATCCCCCAACGGAATCGAGTGAGCCACTTGTTACAGCGACTACCTCTCGTTCGAATGCATCGATGTATTCGGCACGAATAGTTTTTATTTTGGAACCGTGTACCGCCTTCTCATTTTTATTAAATGCGGTGGTATTGTGACTATTTTTAAATCCGTGTATTTTATCACTCTTACATTGCCAAAAGCCTCCTTATTGGACGCTACAACGAATGACACTGCCATTTGTCATTTCATTTACCTTACCTTCTACTATCTTAGACACTTAGAATGTCGTCGGTACCAGTGAAAGCTGATGATGACGATGATGATGATGGGAAATTGAGACAATAAGACAAATTAACTTAACTAACAGACTTGATGATTTGTTGTCTTTGATTGAATTCTAATTAACAATTTTTGTTCAGCGGTAGAAAAGTCGGTTGTAATCGTCAGTGAAAAAAAAGGAAAATCGGTACGACAGAGGAGAAAAAGAATTTTTCTTTATCTATTTACGTTTACAGATACGACGTCATCCTTTTTTATTCAAACGATCTTGCTAATTCATTATAACCGTGTATAATTTTTAAACTTTAGCATAAATTACAGAAGTCACTGAATCGCATTCGTGACCGGGAACATCGCGACAAGCTGGAAACCAAATGGTTAACCAGCCTTTCATGATATCCGCCACTTTATTATTCAAGATCATTTCACTATTTTTGACAGCGTAAACAGATAGGCTCGTTATACTTGTAAAGCGATGATACTCTCTCTCTCTCCTATACAATGATTATTCCCAATTGATGGTGGGGTCTACCTTTCTGGTCTAGCGCTCTCCATCTGCGAGTTACAATCTACGTTCCTGCAACGTTACCCAATATCTTCGGTAGCGTTGCAGGAACGTGAATTTCTCTGACAACATGAGTCCGACTGGTTTTGGTGATGTTTGTTTGATGTCAATCGGACAGCGTTCGGTGGAAATTCAGGGATTAAAGATGTGGAAATTGACACGCGTATAAAGGACTAAGCCACACGCGCCAACTTCCGGACCAAAACTTTCGTCCAAAACGCCTCACGAGCGCGAGAAAGCAAGCCGGAATCCGCGGGGTAAAAGAAGTTGTTGACAAAAACGGAACCGCAGCAACTTTAACGTTTATCCGACGACCGAAGATTGCTTTAGGCCGTGGCTTTTTTCCGCCACCAGCGGACGGGCGGACCGTTTCTATTAAATCGCCGCTGACGGCGGATGAATCATAACAGACGTCGCCGAATTATTGATTTACAATCGGCCGGTGTGCTAAGTTTTTCCACCGCGCAAACTCAATAAACGGCCGACGAGGAGCGGCCGATGGATGTATACATCATCCTGTCTCATTAAGACATTATTGGGGGCGTAATAAAAACGTTGCGGGCTCGCTCCTTAGCATTGTGTGCAGGCTTCGAGTGCATTATGTAGTGAGCATGACGCGGTAAGGGAATTATGACGTGGCGCCAAGCTCCGTTCTGTTAAACGCGCCTAATTGATGCCGGTGTCGTCCTTCAACATGCGCAAGCGACGATTTTGTTCATTTTGGGCAAAAACAGAAACACAGTTACAGTTAATTTTGGAGACAAAATTATTGTTCGCGTAACATTTTTGAGCAACTAATTGCTGAATGAACGGACGGACAAAATACCAGCATGAATAATACTATTTTAGTGTGTTGATCAATAAGTTTACGGTAGCTGAATATACATTTGCTGAAAGTTCATAATACACGCACATTCTCAGAACTAAAGTGCTTGTTCATTTGGTATCTCCTCGCATTAATAAGGTATATGCTATTAATAAAGTACATTATAATCATGTCCATTTTGTTCCCCTTACACGGAATAACTTGCTCGCGTCGAACTTGTCCGGGAAGAAATTTGATACAGTGCTCCGCCAACCTATACATAACTTAGGTACGTACTAGCATAAGAGTTAACAGTCTAAACCGACCACGTTTCGACTCTCGGTCCGGCCAATCCATTCAGCGGATGACAATGTTTTTACACACAAACGGACGCACAAATCATTATTATCACGATACCCTGACAAATGATTGATCACACGGGAATGCTATTAAGGTGGACCGAAGGTGCATATCGGCAACTCAAGCGGATCCCGACTTTATCTAGTTGCTTCATTGTTCATATTCGTTACGCGTTAAGAGCGGTGCCATCCAAATTTCCCTTTGAGATATGACAGAAATTTTACTTTCAAAAGTTTTGTATGCGATCCTCGAAACGAAAGTATTCTGAATGTTATATGTTAATGTGCACAAGGTGATATTTTTTTTGTTTTGTTAAGGGCGCTTCTGTTTTAACGGAATTAATCTTTGAAACAGATTACACGTATCAGGAGAGACACTTCCCGATGGAAAAGTCCACAACCGGAGATGTCAACAAAGTTCACTTTACTTAAAATGACGCTGCTAAGTCCGTAGACTGTAGAAGCTTCATTGAAAGCAGAATTCACGGGCTGAACCCACGAGTTTTATGAGGTCTCCGTGTGTGAGCAGGGCCTCGCATGTGCTCATGCGTGTCTCTTAAACGGGCGGTGTTTTACCTACGGGCCATCGAAGTACGGTATGGACCGTATCCCCTGTTGGCTTTTGACTAGACCGCCCAAGAACGCTGATTTACCTTCAGAACGTATTGCGTTGGTTTCGGCGAGCCAGTAGGCTAATAATTACTTGGTTATGTTTGTTAGCACTATGTGCGGGTCGATAGGTCATCCCTCGATGGTTATGAACGAAGTAATTATTATGATACCTTTAGTAAATTCAGCCTTCAGTTTTTCAAACTGCCTGTTTAGTTATTGGAAGTTATATATATTCTAAAGGAGTGCAAACACCTGAGCCAAAATAATTGGTAGTTTTGTATGAAATGATAATAAAAATTGACTATAGCCATAGTTAATAGACATCTAACGACCATAAATACTGCAAAGTGTTCGAAACGTCGATGAACTATAGTTAGTACAGGTTTTTTTTTGTATTGTAATATGTTGTATCATACGTTAATATATTAATTTATATCACTATACAACAAATCCGGAATTAACCTAAAAATAATAGATATGCAATATAATATAATAGCTAATATCACGGTGGTAGCAGCCTCGGCTATTGCACGAATGGGCAAAATCGTCCGGGTAATCAGGCTCTCAGCCAGCGTAAAGTGGAAGTATAATACTTTCGCGTTTCGTCTGGTGAGTGAGGTGCCCGGAGCCCAATTTTCAAAAGGTTGTCAACGCATCTAGAACCCTCCGGTGTAGTAGATGTCCATTGGCGGCGTTATTCACTTAACATCAGGTGAACCGTCTACTCGTTTGGCAATTATTCACATAAAAAAAATGCAAACGTGTTGTCTTTTTTATAAGGCACGCTATTTCGTAGAAAAGACCTTAAATACCTTATAGTCAAGGCAACGTATGCATAAATCAATGCTCTAATCGAACAAAAGGTAACTTTACACTTGCGTAATGAAGATAATAGTAGACTATTAAGGTAGTAGTACTAATAGAAGTAGATTATTAGATATAAGTATTAATTTATAGATTAAAGTCAAACCTTACCCACCGCTTTATTAGACTGTAGCTTTCTTATAATGGTTACATGTATATAACGTAGAACTAAAGTAAATGTTTGTCACTTTATAATTCGTACTTTATAATAACAACGGCCCTTGGGGATATTCCAAGCAAATTAAGTTGGTAAGGGATCGTTATTCCAGTAAACAAGCAATAAGAAAGAAAGGTAAAATAGCATTATCGATTATTCCACTTTGTAAATAATTGTTAGAGAGAAACCTCTTATGATTGAGTTTCTAGCCGTGCAAACACCATTTACTAGCGTTTCATAGGAAGTAAAAAAGACAAAGGACTTCATAGAAGCGGACGTTCTACATAAGCCAAATGAACCAACACGACAATGGATTCGCAAAAGCCTGCGCTAACTGCCAACCTGTGTGGTCCCCCGCGGCCACAACAAAAACGTATATCGCTTTTTACCCGGAAAACAAACATAAAATTTCATTCGACCAAGTGAAATTTGCCTCGCTTTGGACCTTAATGTCGACAAAAACGCCGGGCAACAGCTAACGCGTCCTGATTGTGCAAGCGCAAGTTGAAGTTGGTCGAAAAAAAATTCGAAAAAATTCCCTCGGGACCTGTCAGGACGGAATGATTTCGTCGCGACCGATATCTTCAATTAATTGATCGAAAAACTAACAAAATCCCCGTAGTGATGTCACACGACATCGAGACATTCCCCATCGATGTCCAAAATTGCATTTTAATTTATTACCTAACATATCTATCTACCCAAGGATCAAAAGGATCGGCACTAATCAAAATCAACCATATTTGGTATCTTTACACGTATCCATGGCGTTTAAAACAAACTGTCGAGACTCTTAACTACAATTGCATTCCTAGCATTGTTTAGGGTAAATGAAAGACTAAAAAAATTAGGCATTAACTACTTACTATCTTATATATAATTTATTTGTTAAAACTAACCCTAATTACCCTTATAAGCCTAATAATCTATTAAAAACCCACTGTAGTGAAACGATATACTTTGGTAAATATCTATTTAATATGTTCAAATTTAGACAAAAAACTTGCCATTAAAAACCTACCTAAGCTCCTGGTCTATTTAATGGATATTAAGGGTTATAAAAAGAATCATCACCATCATCATGTCAGGCTGTTAGAGTTCATTGCTGAATGTAGCCCCCCATAGACTGTTCGTCCGGAGAAGTACCACGGCGTCAGAGAAGTAACGGATGTAGGAATGAAATATACATACCCTTTAACGAATATACGAAATTAGGGCTCGATTCGTATGATATATATATCATATTTCAATAGCAAATGTTCGTCCCACAAATAATTGGTACCAAAAATACCGGTAATTTCAGAACCATCTTCGAAAAGCACATCACTAAATGGCGGAAATAAATCTCGGGCGATCGCGGTGGACCCAAAGGACCTCCCCTACGTGCTCAGTGGGGGTGACGCTGCGACGCCAGATGGAGACGAGGGCATCCGTACATTAAATCAGTTCCTAAGTTATGGCAAAAGGGCCTTTCATTTAACTCGTCAATACACAGAAACCGACAGCGACGAAACGCCGACAAAAAGTTTCAAACGTTTACAGTCGAGCACTTGCTACGGCTACGGGTAGCGCTTTAACATTAAATTAATTTAGTTATGAAATATTAATATAATTACTTTAATTAAAATATAACGTTCGTAGTAGCTACTAGTCAGTTAATTTCATAATACGAGGAGAGTTCGATATATTATCGGAATTAGATTATCGAGGGTATAAATATAAAATTTATTTAATTGTGACCGTTAGTATTCGAGATACCACTACAAAAAGGCAACTACGGCGACTGATACAACAATGTAGAAATAAATCGAGCATCACGCTGTGGTAAAATTCGTTACCAAGCAATGAAAGATACAAAAAGTTTCTGTACTCGTTCTTTATTCACGAAAAAATTGTGGCTGTTTTTGGATATATTAGATAACGAAGGAGCAAAATCTTGAAAGAAGACTCCTCCATTATCTAACATTAAGAAGTAGTCTAATCACTTCAAACGGGGTAGAAAGTAATACAGACCGAAAGAAGACGTCAAAATCGTTGAGAAACTTGTGAAACACGAAGATGAGTTACGGTTAATTAATGCGAATCGAGAATTTAAAAAATTTCTTAAAATACAATTTCCCCAAAGTTAGGAATAAATGATAAGAGATCATTATTCGTGTCTTGTATCGTTTTACATCTTCTTGAAGAAAGTCTATAATTCGCATCTCTTACCATTTACGAACACAGGGATATTATTGCATTTAGTATTTATTTTCAGAATTCATTAACTTCCGTAACTTTCCGGTAAATTTAACGATTCATTGTCATTTTAAAGCTTATGTGTGTCTAAAGTTAAAATTAAAAATAAAATAAATATTAAACAATGGCGAAGAAGACTGAGAAACCTTAACGTTCAAAATAAGATACATTTAATTGCTAATACATATTTACATCTTTTAGCGACTGATCACGGTAGTGTGTGAAAATTTCGCACGGGTCAACTAGTGATACATAATACTAAAGATAGAATGTTGTTTTTATTGTTGGCTAAGTACTTGGGTTTAAAACTCAGTTGCAGTTCGTTCAAAAAGCTTATGGTGCCTTCGCGGAGTGTCGCTTTACGGAGAATATGACATTCACGAAATTCCAAACGGATCGTTGAATGAACGCCCATAAATAATAGCAATGTTAGAAAATTTCCAAAACGTTACTGTAACTGAAGAAAGCAAATGTCAATTAAATCCTAGTTTTGCTTCAACTTCACGACCATGAGCTCACCTTGCTTTAACTCTGAATATGGTGAGGCCACGCAGCAGCTACTGTGTAGAAGAAACGGTCACGCTCTTGCTGAAGTAACGGGTCAGTACCACGCCCTCATTATCCGCCAATCCGCCAATCAGCATTGGAATCGCGTGGTGGACTATGCCCCTATATCCTCTATAGAGAAGAGGCCTTTGCCCAGCAGTGCGACACATACAACCCGTTACTTAACTTTACTTTTTACCACGGCCTCACAGAAGTCCAGCGTAAAGTGGAAGTCTTGTGAGTGTGGTAACCGGGGTACCACGTTTGTCAACACTTCAACGTTGTAGAAGTCCACGAGCGTCAACCAGCAGGATACCACGGCCTCACAGAAAACCAGCGTGAAGTGGAAGTCTAGTGAGTGCAGTAGCCAGGTCCCACTTGTGTCAACACGTCAACGCCTCTGGCGTTGTAGAAGTCCATGGTCGTCAACCAGCGTTCGCTTAAACTTATCACATAAAATAACCACGAGCATCAGAAGTGCGTAGAGCGATAACCATAAGCCGACCCTCGTGTCGGACACGAGGCTCGGATGCCGCGGCGCTGCGTCGTCGGCCTCCGCAAAAAGACGACCCCGCTCGGACGGCGGACAAGTGCGAAAAATTCCGCGTATCGCACGCCGCGAAACAGCGCCCCGACGGACGGAGGCCGCAGAATGGCCCTCTGCCGGGACCGCGATTAATTAAAACGGAGGAATCCCGGCGGTTTTCTTGCGCGCCGGGAATTGTTTACGGCGGAGCGATCGAGAGGCCTTAGCCCTGAGAATAATTTAAAAAAAATCTCGTAATAATAAATTAAACAACAAGTAGGTATAATATTTACTGACAAAAAACAAAACTGTCATCCAATATCTCACTGACTATTTAATTTCGAGAATTTCCTTGATGTAACCCAGAGGTCCAGTACGAAATAAATAATAATACTTAAAATATAATAACGTGGATCTTAAGTGACAGACGTAAAAAAAAACCTTTTCTTTATTAAAATCGGACTAATGACCCATTCCGGATATGCACGGGTGCAATGTTTCTCTACTGTAATATGCATGTAAAAGTAAAGTACAGCCTATATATGTCCCACTGCTGGGCAAAGACCTCCTCTATACAGAGGGTATCAGGGCATAGTCCACCACGCGGCCCCACTGCGGATTGGCGGACTTCACATATCTTCGAAATATATATTTTTTTCTTATTATTTCGAAAATACGCAGGTTTCCTCACGATGTTTTCCTTCACCGCAGAGCACGTGATAAGTCAGCACTTAAAGTTAAAAACTTCATTGGTGCTGGCACCGGGGATCGAACTCAGGTTGCTCGAGTATATTGAATTAAAGGCGAGCGCCCGGACACTGAGCTATCACGGCTCGTGTCCGGTCAATATGCATGTACACTGTATAACCAATAAACTATATAAACCTTCCGCCTGAATCACTCTTTTTCTGAAAACCGCAATTAAAATCCATTGGTTACCTAATTAAACGGTTTTATTAAGCTCGACCCGTGCGGAATTTGTTTATTTCTTTGGGTCAAAATTAGAAATTGAAATTTAAGCACCTTCCCGTTGTCAGATTGATCTGAAATTTGGTACACACATTTAATTTAGATGACAATACAATATTGTAGTTTTCAGTGCACATAAAATAAAACCGTTTAACTTAAAAGTTTTTAAACGGTTTTATTTAAAAGATCAAACCGTACAAACATCGGGAGCGATTTTGTTTCGTACTATGTAAAGATAATCGCATCATAACAAAACGTGGACCTCGTAACGCTAACGTCGATGCGTAAACACCGAGGCAAGACGGTGGTAGGGCCACGCAGCAGCCTCGGCTGTTGCACGAATGGACAGGCCCGTCCGGGTAAGAACCACGACCTCCCAGAAGACCGGCGTAAAGTGGAAGTATGACAAATACTTTCGCGTTTCGTCTGGTGAGTGAGGTAGCCGGAGCCCAATTACCAATAGGTAGTCAACGCATCTGTAACCCTCGGGTGTGGCAGATGTCCATGGGCGGCGGTATTCACTTACCATCAGGTGAACCATCTGCTCGTTTGGCAACTTTTCACATAAAAAAAAGACAATGGCACCACGTGACTGTTCAGCTCCAGAATTACAACGCTTGTCGTAATCCTTGAGATGAATTTACAAATAGTCAAAAAACACTTTCGCACTAGTTCTGCATAACTAACTCAGATTGAGCACAGCTATTTTTGAAACACAAACTATTTGACAAGAGAGGATCGAACGACAACGGAACACGCAATAGCAGTTGTCAAATTACCTGATACTGAATTTTATACTATGCGTAAAAAGTTCAACGAAGTTACGACTTCAGATTCTATCTCTTTAGTTTTGTTACAAGCACTAAAGATTTTAGGAAAAAACCTTATTAAATTTAAATTTATCGAAAGTTTAAAAAGAGTTCTGAATTTTTAAAGTGCTAATCTCTGCACTTAAGATGAAACATTAAAACGTGTATAAAAGAATACGAAATTTTTTTCGCCCATGTGGATTCCGACACTCCCGCCCAGACGCGTTAAACTAAACTAAACACGAAGCTAAACGGCTGATTGTATAGTTATATATATTATATTGTTCTTCAAGCGTCCCTCAAGGGAAGCAGAATCACAATGGTTTATAAACACGGCCGTATTATACGTTCGGAGAAGTTTCGCGAACGAATTAATGACCAAAGAAACTAACAAAAGACCATTTATAAGGAATCTTTTTAACTCTTTAGGACTAACAAGCTTGAAGATACTGAACTTATCAGACTCGAGAAAGAAAATGGGAATGAACTAGTGAAGAAATCTCCGATCCCATACAATGTTGTAACCGTCGCTTTTAGCGAATATCTTGACGCGGGCAGTCAGCAAATTAAAATGGCCGTGCCTGAAGGAGCGTGCGTCGCAGATTCCGAAATGTTAAGCGGACGCGTAGAGCGATGTTTGGACCGTTAACCGTTTTTGGAAAAAATGAAAATGAAAAAAAAAAAAAAAAAAAGAAAAACAAAACACGCAAATATTTCGGACACGATCCCGACACGCCGAAATATGTCCGGAGCTTTTTCTGACGTGCTCTCGAGGCCCGTCTCTTTATTCACGTCAAACGAGGAGCCCTATTCCGAAAGTCTAATGCGATTCCACCAGATTTACATGGAGCAATTTGTGAATAAAACAAACGAACAAAATAGTCTTTGAATTTGTCATATGATGCAATCTTTTAATTACGTTTTGAATGAGTGATGTCGAATATTATATACTTAATTAAAAAGTCACAAAAAGTAAAGAATTAGAAGATCGCCCATAGACACTGATAACACCATAACCAAATATTTTTTTATATAATCTTCCTTTTTTGCCCTGTCTGTCAAATTACTAGGCTCTCCCAACACGGAATCACTAATTATCAAGAAATAAAAATAAAGAAAAATTACTATAAACAAAAAAATAGATAAAAAGTTTGCTATTATGTTTGTATATGCATGTGATGTGTGTGTTGTACTCATATTTGTACATTCAAGACTGACGCAGGCAGATGATATTACCACCGTGAGGATGGCTTTTGGTCACTACAATCAACGGACGATACACAAAAGTACAATAGTATTTAATCTTTACGTATGTTAACTCAGTAGTTACGCTATGTAGTAAAATAGTATAAGTACTAATTATATAATCCCTAAGAAGTTTTTGGAGATAAGGACAATTTTCAATGAATTAAATTCTCCTAGTCGGTAACAGCTGGACTTATTAGCAAAAGTATAATTAATAAACAACTATAGACCGACATGCCGAACCGTATAAGCCATTTGCACGAAATCAATATTTTTTTGCTATTTATACAAACATATTATTTTGCTCCAGCCGTAGTCCCCGTATTTCTAATAGCTAAAAAAATTCGCTAATATCCGAAAAGTCGTACGCTCCTCTATATCGAACGGTCACCGAATAGTCGCCCGAGGCAATATTATGCAACGCGCGCCCGGACTTAGAACAGCGTCCGTATAATGAATGCGTCTCCGTTAAACGTTGTTTTTGTCCGTCCGTCCGTCCGTCCGCGGGTTGACAATATCGGTATTGTGAACGGCGGCCGATACACGCGGGCTCATTGTCCACTCACTTATGCTCGAATCTATTGAGCAAAAGAAATGAACCTTATTACCGTAGCGGAATAAAGACCAATTTGTGGAGTGATCATGTAGGAACTTGGGTGAATATGTCACGCTGAGCTGAATGACAACGATACAGAATCTGAACCAGGAGAATATAAAAAAGAGAAGTTCATTTTCTGAACAATGCAACGGTCAAATGAAGACCAAAGTAATGACCTGCTTCATCCTTTCCTTTTTGACTTTAAATCATCAATTATTTATAATCAAAATATCCCCTTTGCGCTTTTGAAAAAGAGGTGTCTACAAATTTTGAGGTGTTCAACTCCAATGGCGTACATAATATATACACTGCCAAATGTACACTTTGAGGGGGTTTTAAATTTTTCACATAAGACCGAATAACTAAACCGAGAGAACTAAATCGTAATAAATACAGTAATTTAAACAACCGACGAATGTTCTGATGTTTTCCAACACCCCTTAAAAGCCACTTTCAAGTAGGGTAGTTTGTCAAACGTAATTATATCGAACGTTCACTTGTATTACGATGATCATAATTATTTCGATGAATCGATACAGGAACATGTCATTTGAGGCGCGTGTATCGTATCATATTTTCTCCCTTTCGTTCATTATCACTTCCTGGTATCTCAGTTCGTTCTTTAAAAATCGGACAATAGACGCCACGGAACCGGTCAGCGGCCATTCATCAGCGCTCATTAATGAACGAGTGAGTGAGGTGGCGAAGGGGCGAATGGGTCATTACAATAATTTCACACGGCACTACAATTACACCGATAGATCTGATAAAGAGGTGCGAGCCGGCGGAATAATTGAGCGTCTTCGGAGATCCACAGATGTTATCGAGTGAAAATACACCGTGATTCTTTTTCTTTTTAGGGTCCCGCACCGAAAGGGTAAAACGGGTCCCTATTACTAAGACTCCGATGTCTGTCTCTGTCCGTCTGTCACCAGGCCGTATCTCATGAACCGTGATAGTCAACACAGGTGAAATTTCCACAGATTATGTATTTCTGTTGCCGCTATAACAACAAATACTAAAAAATTATAAAAAAAATATTTGAGGGGGGCTTCATGAAAGACATGATTTTTATGCCGTTTTTATAGATAGTGCTACGGAACCCTTCGTGCGCGAGTCCGACTCGCTCTTGGCCGGGTTTTTTAAAAAAATGCCCTTACTATAAGATTACATGATCCTGTGTTGTAAGGACGTTTTACAAACTAAAATTTCACGTGGACAAACGCCCAGATCCGTAACAATTATCTGTGGGTCTCACAAATAGTTGTCCCGTGCGGGGATCGAACTCACGACAAATGCGCCACGGAGTCATTCATTACTATGTAAGAGCTGCTGCCCGCGACTAAGCCTACGTAGAATAGGCTGTAGGTGTAACATTTAGACAGATATACATAAAATATGTATATAAATTGTAGCCTATCTCTTATTCTGATGTATAAGCTATAAAATTAAAATCCATTCAGTAGTATTTGCGTAAAAGAGTAACAAACATCCATCCATACATACAAACTTTCGCCTTTATATTATTAGTATAAGGATTTTAGAAAGGAGTTTAATCATGATCTTGATAAGGACATTGACAAGAATCCATCTAGAGCAACTG